TGAATAATGCTCCATGAACATATATGCACGAGTTTTTCTGTAAACACATGCTTTCAACTTTCTTGGGTGGAGACCTAGGCAAGGGATTGATGAGTCCGTTGGTAATTCTGTTGATTTTTTTGAGGAATGGCCAAATTGTTTCCACAGATGCTGCACCATGTAACATCTCATCAGTACTGTATGAGGGTTACCAACGTTTGTTTTCCTGGTTTTTGTTTTTTATTTTAAAATTATGGCCATCCTCAGGGGTGTGAAATGGTGTCTCATTGTGGTTTTATCTGCAATCCAGAAATGACTAATGATGTTGAGCATCTTTTCATGTGTTTATTGGCCATTTGTATATCATCTTTGGAGACATGTCTATTCAAATTCTTTGCCCATTTTTAAATTAGGTTGTCTTTGTTGCTGAAGATAGTATTTTTTTGCGTCATAATTGGTTAAATTAGCTAAAGGTAAATGATTTTTGCTTATATCACTACCTTTAGCAGAGGCATTTTCACCCTGCAAAGTGTGTAAGAGACAACCTAATGGCTGTCTTATACGCTGGGTTTCTATTGCCACATCTATAAAAGTTTCTCTTGAGATGAAGAGTATCTTACTGAGTTGAACAGGGAGAAATTCATGTTGAGGGTTAACTTGATTTTCTCACAAAATGATTTTATAGGCAGGGCAAGGTGGCTCATGCCTGTAATCCTAGCACCTCGGGAGGCCAAGGCGGGCGGATTACCTGGGTAGGGAGTTTGAGACCAGCCTGACAACATGGAGAAACCCTGTCTCTACTAAAAATACAAAATTAGCCAGGTGAGGTGGCACATGCCTGTGATCCTAGTTACTTGGGAGGGCTGAGGCAGGAGAATCGCTTGAACCCTGGAGGCGGAGGTTGCAGTGAGCCAAGATTGCGCCAGTGCACTCTAGCCTGGGCAACAAGAAATTCCAACTCAAAAAAAAAAAAGATGTTATACTTACTAACATTACTAACAAGAGGAGTGATCTCCATGTCTTAGTTTTAACATTTCCATATAAAATAGTAGAATCTTATTTGCATTTATTTTTGGAGCAGATCCTCCAATCTTGTTGAAGAATTAACATCCCACCAAGGTTTAGGGGCTGTCACAAATGTCACATACACGGTTCCTTCAGGAGCATCTGTGTCTCGTGATAGGTTATTCTTAGTACCTGCGGCTCTGTGAGGTAGGTCCTGTGCACCAATTTAAATATAGGGAAACAGGCTGAGTGAGTGTCTGACAATTTGCTCAGGGTCACACAGCTAATAAGTGACAGGAATGGAATGAAAATATTGTTCATTTATTTAGCATCTTCTACGGATGTGGACTCTGAAAAGTTAAGAAAAATTACCCTGGGTCACACAGCAGTTATGAACCTGAGCTACAGTTTGAGTGTACACAGGCCTGATTCCAAAACTGCCACCTGCTCTGAGGTTACACTGTCTCTCCTGGCATTTTTGTTAATTCATACCATATTTCTCATTTTAAGTAAAAATCCATCTAAGCATGGTGACATGCATATCTCCTAGTTATCTCCTCACTGTGGGATTTGACTTACCTCACTCCTGGGATAGCAGGCTTATTTTTCTGCATTCAAATATTTATGCCAATATGTTACATCTCAAGATAGCATTTTTTTTTTTTTTCCCCAGACAGAGTCTCGCTCTGTCACCCAGGCTGGAGTGCAATGGTGTGATCTCGGCTCGCTGCAACCTCTGCCTCCCAGGTTCAAATGATTCTCCTGCCTCAGCCTTCTAGGTAGCTGGGATTACAGGCATGCACCACCATGTCCGGCTAATTTTTGTATTTTTATTAGACAGGGTTTTGCCATGTTGGTCAGGCTGGTCTCAAACTCTTGACCTCAGGTGATCCACCCGCCTCGGCCTCCCAAAGTGCTGGGATTATAGGCGTGAGCCACCACTCCCAGCCAATGTAGCATTTTAGCCCAGATTTTTACCCTGAAACTCAGCTATAAAACATTATGTAATATCAACAAGATGAAAGCTCCCTGCGAACGTAGGAGGCTGAATGGGAAGTGGGTACCGGGCCAGGTGTAATCAGTGAACAGGCAGCTGTCCTCAGTGCATTCTGTGAGGATTTCCCTATAGTTCGTGGTTTCCTGGTGTCTCGAAGCTAATTAAACTTGGAGATTCAGATTCACGATGCCTCAATTCACAGAAATCATGAGTTATGGTTGAATGGCATCCCCTGCAAAAGATACTGACGTCTTAACCCCTCGTACTGTGAATGAGACCTTATTTGGAAATAGGGCCTTTGAGGATGATCAAGTTTAGATGGGGTCACTAGGTGAGCCCTATTCCAACATGATCATGTCCTCACAAAAAGTGAAATTTGGACACAGAGACATGCACGCAGGGAGAATGTCATGTGAGGGTTGGGGTGATGCTGCCGCAAACAGGAAAACCAGAGATTACCAGCAAACCACCAGAAGCTGGGGGAGAGGCCTGGAACACACGCCCTGGTGGCCTCAGAAGGAACCAGCCCTGCTGACACCTCAGTCTCAGGCTTTTAGCCTCCACAACTAGGAGACAACACAGTTCTGTTGCCAAAGCCCTTCTGTTTGTGGCACGTTGCCATGGCAGCCCTGGGAAACTAACACACCAACTCACAAACCAAAATGTCCGCGGGTTAATTTGCAGTTAGAGTTGTAGCTACCAAGGGGGCATTTATTTGTGTCTGCTGTCCAGGCTTTCTCACCCCACGTAGGAAAGCCATGGCAGCCATCGGTGGCCACACTGGCTGTTGAAAGAGTGAGGTCTCTGCTGCCAGTGTCTCTTGGGGTCTCCTGTTTTCCACGCTTTCTTGGCTGGCCTGGGCCTTGTGGGTGGACACCATCCTTATGTGGATCCACTGACTGCTTTGTCCAGCTCTAACTCTGGCCAGGACAGTAGCCTGTCTCTTTAAGTTTCCTTCTTATATATCGATACTCATCCACAGCAAATCGACATTAAGGTTTGACTCTTACAGCTGAGCCATATTTTCAAGGTGGGGGGGGGTGTCTTCTGTTGCTTCCAGTGTTCTATTTATTTCTTCTGAAAACCAATGGTTATTCATCATCCAATACATGAGTATTGCTAAGTACCAGGCCCCGTGCTAGGCTCTGGGGATTTAGAAATCGACACGTTAGATAAAACTCTCTGCCTCCGTGGTGCTTTCATTCTAGGAGGGGGTGGTGGGCAGAATAATGATCCCCCAAATGCTCATGTCCTAATTGCTGAAATCTGTGAATATGTTACCCCACATGGTAAAAAGGACACCGTGGGTGTGATTAAGCTGAGGACCTTGAGGTGCGGAGTTTGTCCTGGATTATTTGGGTGGGCCCAATGTCTTCATAAGGGTTCTTATAAGAGAAAGGCCAGAGTCAGAGAGAGATTTAAAGATGCAGAAGAGATTTGCGTCTGGCTTTGAAGATATTAGGTTGGTGCAAAAGTAATTGCATTTTTTTACCGTTAGTAACTCCAATTACTCTTGCACCAACCTAATAAAAGGGAGGCCATGAGTCAAGGAACGTGGGCAGCCTTCAGAAGCTGGAGAAGGCGAGAAACAGTCTGCCCTGGGGCTGCAGAAGGAACAACCTCTGCTGACACCTGGATTTGAGGCCATCTGATTCCTAGAACTGTACGAGAATGCATTTGTGTTATTTGGGGCCACTAAGTTTGTGGCCATTTTTTTACAGGAGCAGTGGGAAACTAACACATAGGAGAGACAGGCAATGAACAAATAATTGAGGAAAATGCATATTATGTCAGTGGAATTATGTTCCATGGAGAAAAATGATGCAGGGAGGGGAGAGACAGTGAGAGATGGGAGTTACAATTTAAAATGAGGCTGGGGAAGGCCGTGCCCGGAAGGGGAAGTTGGAGCAAAGACCCAAAGGAAAGGAAGGATGGAGCCAGGCAGTCCCTTGGGGGACAAGTGTCCTAGGGAGAGGGAACTGCCAGTGCAAAGACTTCCTGCAGGTTTCCTCGACCTTAGTGCTATTGACATTCTGGGCCAGATCATTGCTTGGGGGGCTGTCCCAGGCACTGTAAGATGTTCAGTGGCATCCTGGCCTCTACCCACCTAATGCCTGTAGCCCCCTCCCCTTAGTGGTGACGCCCAAGCATGTCTCAGGATACTGCCATGGCATCTGGAGGACAAAAATCACCCATGGTTGACAGCTGCTGCTTTAAAGGAACCAGAGAAACAAGGCTGAGGCACGAAATCTTCTGAGGTGTTGGCATGATACAAAGCCAAGGTCTGGCAACTCCCGAGGAATGAATGAATGCTCTGATGCTTGCATTCAGGGAACAGCAGCATCAGGCTCACTGGGAACTTACTAGAAAAGCAGAATCTTATGACACACCCCAGCCCCACCAACTCAGGATGCAGGATACAGCAGAATCCCCAGGCAGGCAGTAAGTATGCCCATTAGATTTGAAAGGCGCTGGTTCAGAGATCCCTGTGCGGCCCTTCTCCGCTGCAATGGCGGACGCTGCACCAATTAGGAGTCCATTCATGAGACAGATATCCTGGGGTACCTGCCATGTGCCAGTTTCCAGCTCAGGGCCATGTAGAGCTGCCTCATGGCAGGTGCACAGGCTCTGAGGTCAAACTGCCTGCTTTCAAATCCTCACTCTGCATAGTAGCACTGTGACCCTGGCAAGGCACCCAGCACCTCCAAGCCTGTTTCTGTATCTCTGTAGTGAGGCTCATGATAAAACTAGTCCTGATTCCATGATGTTTATTGTCAGGGGTAAGAAGAACAGCCCATCTAATGTGTTTGGCTCAGTGCTTGACACTCCAAAAGTGGTTGACCTTTGTTTTCAAGATTATCTGTCTGTCTGTCTGTCTATCCAAAGGAGGCAGCTGGTGCAGACAGGAAGTATATGCCTACCTCATAGTGCTTCAGAGAGGATTAAATGTCTCTGAGATGACTGTCAAGTGCTCAATTCAGCATCTAGTATAAAACAAACACTCCATGAATGGCAGTAATTAATATTATCAGAATAATTTCTTTTGAGAAAATGAGCAGTGGTAAAGGGCTTAACAATGAATGACGTTCTCAGCTGTTTACTCTGAATTACACTCTTGTGGCCAGAACATCCTTGGCTCCTTGGCAGTAATTGTCAAACGAGGCTGGGAGCAGTCAGTCCTTCCGCTCCCCCAGACTGGGCCAAGCAAGGCAGGTTTCCATCTGCTTGTGACCTGTTGTCACACACAGAGGGGGTGGAGAAGCTTCTCTCACGTGGCAGCTCTTGTGGGGAGCACTCATTGTTTTTGCAACGTCAGGGTTGGTGATGGTGTCTGAAGGATAGCTGAAATCCCAAGCCTTGAGTTCAGGCAGTCCTGGGTTGGTTATTTCAGCAGTTCGATGACATTTTCTAAGACCCACGTTCCTTTCATATTTCCTTTCTGCCATCCTTAGTGTCTGGGTTGGCTCTCCTCATGGTATCAGGATGGCTGCAGTCACTCCAGGCATCACATCTTCATTCACTGAAATTCAGAGGCAGCAAAGGAGAGCCATATGGTCTCTATGTCTCATTTTCCAAAATAAAATTTTTTTTCCAAAGCCCACCCACTCTCTCTTCTACAAAAAGCCTTTCCTTTCATCCTCATTGGTCAGAATGGCAACATGGCCTATCCTAAGCAAATTGCAGGCAACAGCAATGATTGATTTTATGGTTGATACTAATTTCTCTTAAAGCTGGGGATAGGGTAGCCTTTTCTGAATACATAACCATGAGACAGAAGGTGCCATCCAAGCAAAATCAGGGTCCTGCCAGCAAGACGATAAGATATTGATCTGTATAGATTACCTGCAGTATCTCCTTCTGAGGCCTTCACCCCACATCAGATCCTTTAATCTCTGATTCCAGCATCCAATTATCTATACAACCAAATGCAGGAAGAACAGAATTAAGACACAGCCTGGATTTCAGGGGGAAGTGGTCATTCTCAATACTTCTGCAGGAAATTCTTAACTCTATGACAGCAACCAGATTGCAGGCAGACCACACATCTCCCTTGAGGTTGATGGAGCCCTGGTTTAGAACCCTGAGCTGGGCCCAACCAAGATTCCCATCCATCCCAGGATTTCTAATCAGCTAAGGCATCTTGGGAAGAACTCCATGGAGGGGACTAGCGGGCTGATACCCCCAAGAAAGGCTCCAGGAGAGAGAGCCAGTGTCAGATAAAAGGGGGATTCTGGGATGGCACAGCATTGGACACTCAGATAATCCCTGGGCTCTTTGATTCCTGTGCTCCTTATGTGCAAGAGCAGACACTGAGGAGCCAGGCCCCAGAAATACCTGCTGGACATTGAGAATGGGGCAGACCCAGGTGGGGTCACCAGTGTTTGGGACCAGCAGTTTGGGCCATCATGCTGACCATGATGATCAGCTTCTCAAAAACCTGTAAAACTCCCTCCAGGAGTCAGGGCAGGAAAGGAAGTGGAGGAGGCTGAGGACACATGTACAATGAACATCCCTCCCTGCCCCAGGAAATCTCTGAAAGAGTTGGAGAAGGATTTTGAGGGGGGGGCAGAATTCTTCACATTGCAGGTACGGGGATCACAGAGTAATACGCTTTGGGAACATACATTGCTTCCGGCTCTACTCCAAGGCTGGTGTGGCTTGCAATGGTGGGTTTGGTTAAATGTGTGACTTTCTCTTTGGTAAAATGATGGATGCTTTGCACTGGAGTCAAGCACCTCACTTGAGCATTTAGGCCTGACTCACCTACCAGAATATCAGCCCTCTGAGGACAAGCACTTCGCCTATATCACAGTCTCCCTAATATTGTGGGTGTCACAATTGGCTGTCCATACTGTTTTTGGAAGCCTTTTTTATTCAATAAACACAGCATCCCAGCACAATTCAAATTACATAGCAATGCAAATTTTCATTCATGTAATGGATTCAAACACATATTTATGAAATAAACTGTTGCAATCATCATTACTTACCATGATGCCTTTTAAATGTCACAAGTGTAGTTTTTTTAGTTGTTATGTGGCGTAGGCAGTTGAAATTAACTGCACAGTGAGTTAGCGTTTAAGGAAATGGAAACATTCAGGAGTAGCCATTAGAAGAATCAGAATTCTGCAAACCACAGAGAGAGGAGGCTTGTTTCCCTCACAGTCACTTACTGGAAACTTCCACTAAAGATTCTAAGCCCAGAATCTCGCAAGGAGAGATGTTTTCCCTTAGGAAGTCTCCTTTGGTTTACTCTCCATGAGCTAGAAGTCTTATCAGTGAAAATAAAGAGAGGGCAAGCACTAGGGCTGTTTGGCCTGTCTGTGAAAAACAGACCAGCAGAATTCCCCTACAAGCAGGGGCGGGCATCCTGCCATCAGCGGGGAGAAGGGGTCACAGCCGAAGCATCATATGGATCCCTGCCGTGTGTATGACTTGCCTTGCAGCTTGCATGGTGCTTTTCCATCTAGTGTTTCATTTTACCTTTAAAACAATCCTGAGAGGTAAGCAGGACAGGGATTCTCAGCCTCATCCTGTAGTTGAGGGGTCTGAGGTTGAGAGGAGTTAGACAGGTGATTCATTCAAGATCACATCCCCAAATGCAGACCCAGTGACACCTGACACTCCTCCCTGTCCACCCTGTGTGGGGTAGGCATCGTCCCTGACAAACACTCCTGAAAGGAAAACTGAAAACAAAATTATTCAGGGACAGAATCTGAAACAAGACGGATTGTCTTCTAGACACTGGGATGTGCCAAGGAGAGAAAGCAAGGTGCAGTGCTAGGACGTCGGCAGAGACCTGGCGGTGGGGGAAGGGGGAGGGGAAGGAGGTCACCCTTTCTGTTATCAGCATGAGGGTGGTGATACAGGCTGGCAACACAAACCCTCCATCCTCGTCTTCCTAGATCCGGAGCACCAGATTTATTTATTATTATTTTTTTAGACGGAATCTCGCTCTGTCGCCCAGGCTGGAGTTCAGTGGTACGATCTCGGCTCACTGTAAACTCCGTCTACTGGGTTCAAGAGATTCTCATGCTTCAGCCTCCCAAGTAGCTAGGATTACAGGTGCCTGCCACAATGCCCCGCTAATTTTTTGTAGTTTTAGTAGAGACAGGGTTTCACCATGTTGGCCGGCTGGTCTCAAACTCCTGACCTCAGGTGATCCACCTGCCTCGGCCTCCCAAAGTGCTGGGACTACAGGAGTGAGCCACCGTGGTTGGCCCAGAGCTCCATATTTTTTTAAACTGCAGAACCTTCCCGATCTAAGAGCAGCAGGTTAGTGGAGCCTCCAAGAGCCCAGCCCTTGGGTTGAAGGGACCTGGGGCTTAAACTAGTTCCACCCTTGCAGAACATTAGCTAATCTCCTCTTAACCTCGGTTTCCTCATCTGTAAGTGCAAATAAAATGAGTTGGTATCTTGGGGACTTTGGGAGGAAAAGTTATCAAGCATGTGAAGCACTTAGCATGGTACCTAGCATATACTAAGCACTCAGTAAAGGCTGCCATGGCTATTACTACGATCATCTAGGACTAACAGGGACTATAAACTGGGCTGTGCTTAATGGTACTACGCTAGAGTAATTTTAATTAACAAATGCAAATGAGATGCTTGCCTTCTAAAAGGCATGCTATAAAAACAACTTTAAAAATTGCTTGTTTTGGTTACATCTTTCATGCCATGCTGCCATGCTCCATGCAGAATGCAGTCACAGTTACATTCTGCATTAGGAGCAGTTCACGCCCAGAGTTGCATGTCAGGTGGTACCATTCAAAGAAAGCCACTGCATATTCTGAGAACTTAGGTGGAGTAAGTAACACAGATCTTTCATTCTCACTTCTAATCTTGGGGAAGAAACAACAGGCTACTTTCTCAGAAACCCTCACATTGCAAGTTCCTCTCTGAAACTGACGCAGCCCCACGCTTAAGTTCAGAACTGGTGCAAAACAAATGTATAAAATCCTCCAACGTCTTGTGCAAATTCTATTTTAAACGAGTTTCAGCTGAGCCAGGGAGAGCCAGAAGGAGAGGGCTGTTTTAAGGATAAGTGAACATGTACGAGACAGCCGAATGAGGAGAGAAGAGAAATGCCTGCGTATCAACTGAGATGGCGGATTCCTTCCTGGCAGGCAAATGCCAAGCTGTGGGCATCAGACCTACATCAGGACGCAAAGCAGAGAGGTTATTCAGCTGGGCAGCCAGAGAGCTGCTAAATCAAGGACTGTCAAGTTCTGCGTTTGTTCTCTTCTTACTTTTTTCATGTCAAACCTTTAATGTTCACATCAGTTGTATGCACATAATTTTGTCCTTCCTTGCTACCACATGATCGTGACATCAAAACAGTCTAACAGTTAACGCTGGTAACAGGATCGTTCCAAGAACCCAAGCTCTGGAGACAAGCATAAAGACACAAAACAGTAAGGCCAGGCGTCCCTGGTCTACCAAAAAAAACCTTATAAATGAAGAATCAAAACCGTGAAGGAAAAGTTCAGACTGGGGGAAATAGGACAGTGGCTTTGGATTAACATCAACCTCCTTGTTTACTAGTGGTCAGGGATGGGGTCACTTGCAGTTAATTTTCTAGAAAACAAAAAATGATTGATGTTGTCTAAGTATCAGATGTCACTCAGCTCCCCAATAATGTATTTGTTGAATCAAGGTTAAATTAAGGTCGCCCCATAAAGCAAGGGTTTTGGTCTTTGCTTCTTTTGATTCTCAACATTTTTACTCCTAGAGAGCCACAACAGTTTCTAACTGGTTTTTCAGCTGTTTTTTAGGTTTCAGAAACAGCATCCGTGCCTTTTGATGTAATCTAGGTCCCAATAATTAGTTCCTGCAGCAATGTGAATTACTAAAGTCAAGCCATGCTCATTTTTGAAGAAAAACCTCTAAACCCACAAATGTGTTCACCAATGTATAAGTTTCAACACGCTTGGTTGGAGCAATGATTTATCTCATAATACTGATCTGGAAGAATAACATTTTGTCTATTTTCGTTTACATATTTAATAGGAGATAATTTTATTTAATGCCTAAAGTTTGTGACTAATTGACAGGAATTAAGTCATTCAGCCAATATTTACTGAGCAACTGCTATATCCTCAGTACTATGCTAGGCACCGGCAATTAAAGATCTCCCTGCTTTGAGGGAATCACAGCCTAGTGATATGGGATGTATGAAAAGTAATGAATTCAAGAATCTGGCAACCTAAGTTTGACACCTAATTCAGCCTCTCACACCTTTGGAGGAGAAGACCACCTGGGTTGATCAGAGAGTCTCCAGCTGCTTGTTTTTCACTCAATTCTGGCCCGAACACAGAGTCAGCAGCCTAGGTTTTAGTGGGATGAGGATACCAAGAAGTATGGCTGAAAGGGAGAGTGCAAGGACCTGACTTAAAGGCCTGCAGGAAGGTTAGGTTATCACACGTTCCTCATGTTGTTGGCAGCCAATAACAACAAATCTAAAGCTATTGAGCACTTGCTGTGTGCCAGGCATGGGGCCGAGCGCTTCACCTGTATTATCCTGCTGCATCCTCCCAACAATGCTTTGAGGCACAATTATGATCCCATTTTACACATGAGAAACTGAGGCTCAGAGGGAAATGACTTGAGCAAAATCACAGGGCTCTAGGCACTTGAGCCAGAATTTGGAACTGGCTCTTTTGGGCTCCATGCTTAAGAGACCCCACACCCCATTGGGGTCTTAACCATCACTTAGTAACAATTAAGCCTGTCGCTTAACACCTGCCGGGTGCCTCCAGGTGCTACCCATTGCACCCATTCAAGGTTCTATTGGTTCTGGCCCAGTCGCATTTTTCTCTAGAAAGTGGACCTTTCCTCTGCAGTCTACAGTGTGAGGGTCTCACTACACCTGCTATTTTAGAGAGCTCAAGCCTTGGACTCAAAAATCATGGACTCAGCCCGGGTACTGAGCAGAGAGACACAGCCAAGATAGAGTAGCTTTGTAACTTCCAGCGTTCTTATATTAGCACATAGCTATTTCCAATTTTACAAAATTACATTTTTGAAGTAATTACCAATTAATGACCTTTTTAGTAAATGAGAGTGCTGAGGAAGGGCTAGACATTGAGGCCATTTTCCTAAAGGATTTGGGATGACTCAGTGGAAGGCACCCAGCCGAAGGGCAGGCTCAAGTGAACGAGTCTCAAATGCATAGAGACTCCTGCATTTTAGCGTCCAGATCCACCATTCACGGCAGACCTAGACCCTGATACCAAAAATCCAGAGATGACTGATACAGCCCTAGAACCGATTAGAACTCCAGACACCATCTTGTGATCCATCCCCTCACTCAGCAGAGGTCTAGAGAATGAATACCAGCGACGTCAAAAAAAAAACAAAACAAAACAAAAAAAAAACCCCACAGAAAATCTCCCCAGTCGTTTGATTGTATAAATAATTTATTTCTGTTCACAGCATCATATATGCATTATAAAAGGCTATGGAAACAAAAAGGAGGATGATGAGACAGAGAATTACAGCAGTAGAAAGGAAAACAGAAACCAGGGCACACAGTCCCAACACCAGAACAGAGAATTTGGGAAGATAATTGCTCTGAAACAAAACTGGCCTCCCTGTGTCTATTAGAAAACACTTCCAAAGCTCACGAAGGGAGGCCAACTTCCCCTATGGGAAACCCATTCACTCGCCAAAGGGCAGAAGGCATCATAAATCACCCATTGATACATTGGTCGGGGCTCCCTGTCCCCCCGGTGACCACTCCAAGGTGATTTGATCTGTGCTTCCTCTGTTAGGTCAGAGACAAAATGGGTTAATATTAGGTCAAACATTACAGAAATCAACTGAGACTCTTAACTAGTAGTTGATACACCACAGGGCTTTACTTTACTGCACAATTACTAACAGTTGATTGCACCCTTAAGTATTGATTATGCAAAAAACAAAATCATCTCGCATCAGTTTTAAAGCATGACAGGGTTTGAACAGTGATGTTGAACCTAAGTATTGTTATCACGAGAAGGTTACAGTATTTGGCATCTGCAATGTCACAAAATAAATATATTATTCTCTCAATAGTGTGGAACTACCAAAATGTCAAAGTGCTTAAGAAATTGTCGCATGTGAAGAAAATAAAGAAAGATGGATTTTTTTTTTAATAATTCTATACAGAATCTTCAGATGATGGGACCAGCCCATTTAGAAATCAGTGAATATGCTGTCGATATGTAAACTGAAATCTTGCAGGCTTTTCAACACTGCTTAGCTAGACTTTCTCTACTGAGTTTCTACAAAAAGACCAGCATTGGAGGGGTACCAAATACACCGACGAAAGAGAAAAAGCAGCTGGGCTGCTAGGTTTCTGCGTTTAAAAAATTTCATATAGGAATTGGGTTTTAAACAGGAAGCCAGAACTTCTGCCTCTGGTTCTTAAATTAACATTCGGTGTGTAATGGACAATAGGCATGGCCTCATAATTTGACGAACTCACATGCTCAAGCATGATCATGTCCCATTTCTACAGGTCTCCTTTGTAAAGAAATGTGTAACAGTGGGGGGAAAGTCATAATTCTATCTGAAAACATGGATTGGAAGAGGGACTAAAAAAATCAAACAGTATGTTTTAAGTTTCCCTTTTGATACTGTGTTTCAGGGTAAATGACAGCTTCTGCAAACCAAGACTGAGTCCTGATTCTAAAGGATTTTTAAAATTACATTATTAAAAATATGTATTTATTCTTCTTTCACTTTATCTATTTTCCAAAGCCTCTTTCAAGTAAACTGTGAAGTGCCTGAGTACCAGTGACCATGACGTCACACTTTCTTTTATCTCAAGCACTCATTGTTGTTTGCATTTGCCCAAAGTGCTGGCTGGCTCCGAAGGCCAGTTCCCACAAGAATGAATTCAGAAGGGCTTCATCCTTGTGTTTTTCCTTCTCTTTTAATT